AGCTGGTGAGCAGCAGGGATGGATTCATGGTACACAGCAGCCACTGTTGTGCTCTGGTGATGGAGTGGGGGTACCAAGGGAAGGAGCTGCAGGGCATCTCTCTTCCTGCTTGGTGGGAAGATAGGGGCAGGAACATAGCTCCTATTTGGCAAGGGAAGGTGGAGGCTGCCAGGACTTCTCTATGGAGAGTCAGTAGCCCTGAGTCAGCATGCCTAAGTGGACAGCGAGGGATGCATCTGATTTGGGGTCTGAAGGCTGCTGTAGCGTTATGGCTGCTGGTGCCATGGCTAAAGAAAGGCTGAAATCAGCCCTTTTCCATGTCTGCAGGGATGCTTCCTCACCATGACAGTCTCCTGGTACCAGAGCCTCATCAAGGTGCTATTGAGCCGCTTTCCCCAGAGCTGTCGGCACTTCCACAATGCTGAAACCGGCACCCAGTATCTGGTAAGAAACAGCCCGTCGCCCACCTGAAGCCTCTCTCCACTGTTGAGGGCCTGCTGTGGCTTCTCTCTGGGTGAGCCTGGGCACTATCATGATGTTGTTCTCCACTCCGCTGCTGGTGCAGTATGAGGTGTGTGCCCCTGCGGCACAGCAGTGTCTCTTTGGCTGCTCTGAGGCGGGCAGGAGACTGCATCCCTGGAGCCTCGTGCTGTGTTGCCCCATGATGTCACCTGTGAGCCAGGCAGACTTGCACCTTCATGGCTCTATCATGTCGCTCGTCCTGCACACCAGCACATCCCTGGGTGGGTGTTGTTTGTATCCCTGTCCTGGGTTTTTTCCTATCTCCTTTCCAACATGTGCTGTGGCTCTCCTCCTGACAGGTTGTGCTCAACCAGAAGTTCACAGATTGCTTCGTTCTTGTGTTTCTCGATTCCCATTCAGGAAAGACGGTAAGATCTTGGGAACATAAGAGCAGCTATATTGGCTCAGGCCGGGATCTGTCTAGATTCATCCAGCAGTGGCCAACGGCAGGGGGGGGTGGGGACAAGGACAGGTCAAAGACCTTGTAACACCTTTCCTGAATGCTGTCCCAACATCTGCCAGTCTGTGGTTCAGTCCCATCCTGAGCTAGAGTTGACCTTTGCATTTATTTAATAGCCCTTTGTAGCTTTGTTTCCTGTGGTTAATTTCTAGCACCCATGATTTCCCCTGACTTGCAGCTCCGTGAGGCTATTGCAATCTAGGTGAAGAACTACCTTCCTCGCCTTGTTTTTGAAGCTCCTTCTGCTCTTTTCTCGTGATGGTCACTTCGTTCTCATTTTGGAAAGCAGTGAGGAGTTGATCTTCTCCTTCACAGGATTGTTTTTCCATCATGTTTTTGTCTGTCTTTCCGTCCAGGCTAAAAAGTCCTTCTGTATTTGGTCCAATGCCAAGTCACACTGGTTCTGGCTAGGAGGGTCCCCAGTGCTATGGGCTGCTCCTACCTGGGCAGAAAGGAAGGGGACCTGCACTCCGAGGGTCCCGGCACGCCTGCACGGGCTTTGGCCTTCATTGGACTTGAGGGAGAAGTTTCTCTGCTTTTGGCTGTGCTCCCAGGCAGAGTGCACATGGGTCACAGGAAATACAGCTCCATGTGAGAGCAAGGGATCACAGAATCACAGAACATTAGGGATTGGAAGGGACCCTGAAAGATTGTCTAGTC